CCACCCAGGCGCCCCAAACTCCACTTTCTACAAAGCACACTAAGCCAAACTTGGGATGGCCCACCGAAGAATGACTTCCTTGGGGCCACCTTTATGCATACCCATATTCCTGTGGAATGGGACAGCAAGAAGAGAAAGAATAAAGTCAGTCATAGAAAGAAAAGGAAGACTCTTTCGCACCAAAGTCTCCATCCCTATGAAGCAATTATAGATGAAAGACAAGGAAAAGAAATAATACTTTAAAATAGGGACTATACACTGAGCATTCTTTTTTTTTAATTTCTTTTAAAAAATTTTTAATGTTTATTTATTTTTGAGAGAGAGAGAAACAGAGCATGAGCAGGGGAGGGGCAGAGAGAGAGGGAGACACAGTATCCAAAACAGGGTTCAGGCTCTGAGCTGTCAGCACAGAGCCTGACGTGGGGCTCGAACCCACAAACTGTGAGATCATGACCTGAGCTGAAGTTGGACGCTTAACCGACTAAGCCACCCAGGCACCCCATTTTTAAAATTTTTTTAATATTTATTTATTTTGAGAGAGACAGAGTGTGAGTGGGGGAGAGGCAGAGAGAAAGGGAGATATAGAATCTAAAGCAGGCTCCAGGCTCTGAGCTGTCAGCACAGAGCCTGACACGGGGCTTGAACCCATGAGCTCTGAGATCACGACCTGAGCCAAAGTCAGACGTTCAACCCATTGAGCCACCCAGGCGCCCCTGAGCATTCTTGATATAATTCTCTTTGCATATATATTTTTGTTTTAGACTGTTACTTGTTGATATAAATTTGAATGGAAAGAAAATCTTAATGGTGTATTTTAGAATTCAACCATCACCAACCGTGAAATTATAGATGTAGACATGAAGTGTTTAATCCAAACAGATAAATTAAACACTTACAAACTCCATAGGGCTTTTTGAAGAATTGTCAAGGATTTCCACTTGGTAATTTTCCAAAGTTTGATTAGAAAGATGTGTGGGTTTTGCAAAGATGGCTGGAAGTTGCTTTTTAGTACTTTAGAAGATTATCACTAAGGCAAATGTTGAAGTACAGCTAGGCTGTACTAAAGTCAAGGCTGCGGTAGGAGAGAGGGTGGTGGTGACATACAACCCCAGAATCTGTTTGGGATTTAATGAACACTACTGATTGAGTTCTCATACAGCACTATGGGAAATATACATATACTCAGAGAAATTGTTCACTGAAAACATCTAGGGAGAAAAAGAATAACAATTAAAAACCTTATGGAAAGGAATGTGCACAGGAACAGACACCAGAATGATGTAGGGAGGATGGTTAAGAACAGAGAAGGGAAAGGTAGGCAAGGATAGTGGTATCTATCTCCCATGGATAAAAGTGGTCATATTCTCATAGAATATCCTTATTTCTGGTCTCCTCTAAAGTTGTTTGGTTTTCTCCAAATGCTATTTAAAAAAAATTTTTTTTTAACATTTATTCTTTCTTTTTTTTTTTTTTTTTTTTTTTTTTTTTTGAGAGACAGAGCATGAGTAGGGGAGGGGCAGAGAGAGAGGGAGACACAGGATCCAAAGTAGGCTCCAGGCTCTGAACTGACAGCACAGAGCCCAACGCGGGGCTCAAACTCACAGACTGTGAGATCATGACCCGAGCCAAAGTCAGTCACTTAACCAACTGAGCCACCCCGGCACTCCTAGAGTGTGGCTCTTAATGCATTAGAATTCCTAGGACTTCTTGCCATTTGAGGGCTCTTCCTGTGTACCTGAAATTCTATAAGCAACTGACCCTTTACATGGTTCTTTCCTGGCCCTTTGCTCTGTCACTCACTTTGGGTCTTGGAAGGATCCTATGTCCCTCATCCTGCAGTAAGGAAGGACCTCTGCTGGGCTGCTGAATGTAGACTGGAAGAAGAAAAATGAGAGAGAGTGTTAGGAATGGAATACCCTGTGAGTAGAGGGTGAGCATGAGTAACAGAGTTGAGAGGAAAACCACAAAAGATGGTTTGATGGAGTCCAGCCGAGGAAGGCTAAATTTTTTACCACATGTGGAAAAGAAGAGCTATGACCTGCCTCAGACAGGGATGCTATCCTACCGTTATCATTTTGGATTGGTCCAGGACCTTCTCTTTCACTCCACTTATGGTGGAGGAGCACTGATCAGACCAATCCTCCTACAGATAACAACTTTAAAAATTGGTCAAAACATGGGGCATCTCGATAGCTCAGTCAGTTAAGCATCTGACTCTTCGTTTCGGCTCAGGTTATGACCTCATGGTTTCATGGATTCAAGCCTCGCATCAGGCTCTGCACTCACAGCACAGGGCCTACTTGGGATTCTCCCTGTTTCTCTGCCCCTCCCTCACTCATGCTGCCTCTGTCTTTCTCAAGATACATAAACTTAAAAAAAAACTGATCAAAATATAAAATCAACTTCCTTAGGTCACTGGAGAGCAATGAACAGTTGACACTTGAAAGAAGATAACATCACTAGGTGAGTTTCACATTTTTTACAGTTCCCCGACTGAGGGCAAGTCTCTCTTGGTGCCATGAACAGTGACAGATATGGATGCAAACACAAAAGTTAGATGGTGAGAGGACCAGAGTTCAGTGTTAATGGACTGAACATTCCAGCTAAATGGCAGAGATTATTGGAATGGATTTATTAAAAAAATAAAATTTTAAGACCAACATATGCTGCTACAAGAGACACACTTTAAATATGAGGATATGGATAAGTATAAAGTAAAATGGATAGAAGATAGGCTGTTCGAACAGTAAATAACAAAGAGTTATACTAATATCAGGATAAGGAATATTGCCAGAGATAAAGCAGGACACTTTATGATAATAAAAGTCTCAATTATTGTTTATATATTTTTTTAAATTCATTTTTGAGACAGAGACAGAGCATGAGCAGGGAAGGGGCAGAGAGAGAGGGAGACATAGAATCCGAAGCAGGGTCCAGGCTCTGAGTTGTCAGCACAGAACCCAACGCAGGGTTCAAACCCACGAACCATGAGACCATGACCTGAGCCTAAGTCAGATACTTAACCAACTGAGCCACCCAGGTGCCCCTAAAAGTCTCAATTATTAAGGAAGACATGACAATTATAAACATGCATGCACCCAAAACAGAGCATCAAAATACATGAAGGAAAAATTGACAAACATAGACACATCTACTCTCCTAGTTGGAGATTTTGTTGTCTCACTCTCAATAACTAATAGAACTATACCAAAATATCTGAACAGTATGATCAAATATTTTGACCCAATTGATATTTATAAAACACTACTCCAACAACTGCAGAAGACACATCTTTATTTTTTTGAGAGAGAGGGACAGAGAGAGAATGAATGAGCACGAGCAGGGGGAGGGTCAGAGAGAAGGAGAGACGGAATCCCAAGCAGGCTCCACACCATGCCTGCAGAGACCTGATGCGGGGCTTGTGCACAGGAACTGTGAGATCATGACCTGAGCTGAAATGAAGAGTCAGACGCTTACCCGACTGCAGCACCCAGGCACCCCCAGAATACACATCCTTTAATGGTCCCACAACTTTGAGCCCCTAGGGTTCTTGCTGAAGGGGAATAGGCCGGCCCTACCCCCCTGTGTTTGCTATACCACGGTGCCTTCCTGTTTGGCAGTGAACCATTTAGTCATTCAGAGTGGGCTGGTGGGGCGCTGATGAAACGCACATTGGTAAGCAATGATGGAAAAGGGAAAATGAAATGAGTCAATATATTTAAAGACTTAGAACAGTGTCTGGCACTTAACTCTGCACTAGTGTCAGCTAAAGTTAGGTCTACGTAGAAGCGCTAGAAAGAGAAAGAGCTGGTGTGAGGATGACAGGGTGGAGGGTGTGGTGGAGACTGGGTCACAGGGAGGATTACTTCCACGTGCAGGGAGAGCATGGCCTGTGCTCGCAGGGTCATGCAGATATCATAAGAGTAACTCCTTCCAGAGTGACTCCAGGCTAATAAAGAACCATAGGCACTTCTGATTCTAGTTGCCTCTGAGAAGCTGACTGCTAACTCCCTCCTGCCAGGAGAGATCTGTGAGAAATCCCTGAGGTGACAGGGATGGGTTTGTTTTTGTTTGTTGTTGCTTTGTTTTGTTTTGTGCTGCTTTAAGTGTCAAGGTCTAGGTGGCATGGGGGGCACAGGAGTTAGCAAAATGGCACATAGGGAGATACTGGAGGCCTGCTTTTGCTTTCCTCCCACCCTGGCATGGGCATAGGACCTACCCCCATTGGAGACTCAAACCTGCCTTGGCAAGGAGATGAGAAAACAGTTGGGGACCCCTAACCATGGGTAGTCTCTGGCCAGGTCCAGACTGTCCCCCAGCCCCCAGCCAAAGGCAAAGCATGGTCCATGCTTCACACACATGCACTGTGCCCTGAGAACCAATGAGGCTCTTGGCATATGAGTTGAATATGTTGGGTTGGAACATGAATGGATGTAGCTGCTGTTTTAATTATGGCAAGGGACCAAGAATGCTCGCAGGTCAGTACAGAAGTGTAAGATTGTGCATGACTCTTGAAATGCCGAGCATCCTGAATGGTGTAACACACCTGCTCTCTTGGCTGTGCCAGGTCCTGAGGGCAGGAAGCAGTGGCCTGATGGGAGCCTGAGGAAGGCCACCACTCCCCAGAGAAGAAGGTTCTCTCTCAGCCCCTCTAATTAGAAGTGAATTCTAATTCACCTGGGTGTCTCAGTTGGTTAAGTGTCCGACTTCCACTCAGGTCATGATCTCATAGTTTGTGAGTTCGAGCCCCACATCGGGCTCTCTGCTGTCAGCACAGAGCTCAGATCCTCTGTACCCCTCTCTCTCTCTGCCTGCCCCCACTCTTGCATGCTCTCTCTCTTGAAAATAAATAAACATTTAAAAAAAAGAAGTGAATTCCTATAAATCCTCTTCTCTCCTCTTTGTGCAAATGCTTGTAAAGCCACAGAATGTGTGCCCATGCCAGACTCATCAAACTCCATCTGGTAAGCGTCATGCTGAAAGGGAAAAAGAATATCATTACCAAGGTGTCGGGAAGCACCACCACGGGGCAACAGGAGTGCCGGAGCAGCCGGCCCATTTTCCAGATGGAAAGGGGCACAACCACGAGGATCAGCATAAAGCCAACAAACCCAAACAGGGCCAGCGCCAGGGGGAGGGTCTCTCCTGGAAATGAAAAGATAAGAACAGGCTTAGGAGACAACAGAGAAGGTGAAGTCCCCCACCCTGGCCTCCCTCGCTTTTTCCTGGAGTTGGCTTTGCACATCAGCCAGGACGGCAGATGCCAACATCCTGAGATTTGACGTCTGCCTTAGTGACTAAAATTACCACCATTAAAACCATTTTTCTTAGAATCCAGATTAAGGCGTTGTTTTCAGAAAGCCCCAGGGAAGATTAAAATCTTTTTCTTGGGAAGGGAAAGGGAGGAGCATCATGTGTTAGGCCACTAGCTGTGTTAACACGTACCTCGGCGCAGCTGCCGGGAGGAAGGCAGAGTGCCAGGACACCGGCAGGATGAGGGGGAGGTGCCGAGAGAGAACAGCACAGAAGGGAGCTGGTGGTAACTGAAAACAAAATGTGTTTCACAATTTGCTCTTGGCATTGACTTACATTATGGAGGGAAATACTGACCTCAGAAAACAGTCACATTATAACTACGATATATCGAGCCCCTGCTATCGTTAAGTGACTTACCCCCAGTCACACAGCTAGGGCTGGCTCCGAAGCCCAGAGTCATTGTACTGAGCATGCTCAGTACATGAATCAGAAAGTGCCAAGTGTGAGCATCTGCAGATGCAGAAGGGGTGATCGGTTATGTTCCCACCTTTCTGTTCCGCGTGACGTGGAGCAACTCACTGGGCCCCTCTAGGTCAGACCCCTCACCCACGGTGTGAAGGGTGGCACAGCCAGCGAGGCCACAGGGAAGGCTGTGGTATCAGGTATATGGCTAGGGGCAATGTGCTCTGTTTCAGTGATTTTGTAAAATACTTCGGCAGTACACGTCAAGAAATAAACGAATGTTCATACCCTTTCATTTACTCCTCTGAGTGGATTCCAAAAAATAATTTCAAGGAAGGAAACAATTATACGCAGAAAGCGGTTCGTGGCGACATCTGGACTGGGGCAAACAGCCCCATAACCAGTCTCCCTCCGCACCTCCCACCACCTCCATGTATGCTCTGGTGTGTTTTGTTCATAGCACATACCACCAAGTGAAACTATCTCATTTGTTTACTTGTTTGTAGCCCGTCTCCCCAACTAGAGAATAAGCTCCCATGAGGGCAGGGGCTTCCCTGCTGTATCCCAGTAACTAGGCCAGTATTTGGCACATAGTCAATGCTCAGTAAGTAGTCACTGAATGAATGAATGAATGAATGAATCAATCAATCAATCAATGAACATCATCATCAAAAGCAAATGGAAATCACCTAAAACACAGAAATAGATCTAAATACCCCAAAATAGGAGACAAGTTAATATATTATGTGACATTGGCACGGTAGCTTAGGAATTCAGCTATTAAAATGGGAATTGGGATATACACAAATTTGTTCACTACAGCCTGATTTCTAATGGCAAGACTGGAAAGCACAGAATATATAATATACATTATAATATCATATATATTATATATATTGTTATATATATTTTGGCACATTGATTAATTCACTTATTATACATCTTCTTTAAAAATGAGGTAGGTCCGGATGCCTGGGTGGCTCAGTCGATTAAGTGTCCAACTCTTGATCTCAGCTCAGGTCATGATCTCACAGTTCATGAGTTCGAGCCACACGTCGGGCTCTGCACTGACGCAGAGCCTTTTCTCTGTCCCTCCTTTGCTTGTGCTCACTCTCTCTCTCAAAATAAATAAATAATCTTTAAAAAATGAGGCCTGTCCACATGTACTGACATGAAAAGATGTTCACAATATACTTCTAAGTGAAGACAAGTAAGGTACAGAATGGTAAGCACAGTACAGTCCCATTTTTGCCTATAGTATTGGCATCACACAATGACTGGAAGATTCAACATCAAACTTGCCAAAGGAAACCTGAATGGTGTGGGGGAGAATGGAGAACATGTACCTCTCACTTTATACACTTCTTTGTTATTTGGATTCTTCACCAAACTTGACTTACATGATTTTAAAAAGTAGTATAAAATAGTAACCAGGAAATCCACGTGGAAAATGTTATGAATGTTATATCTGTGTAAAGCGAGCACAAAGTGTATGCACAAGTGTCTACACGTGGACAATGGTGGAATGATCATACCACCATGCAGAGCAATTTGGGAACAGTGGTCAAAACTCAAATATGGATGCCTCTGACCAAGCAGCTCTACTTCCAGGAATTCATCCTTCAAATATACACACACCAGCAAGCTGATCTGTGTATGATGTAATTAATTAAAGCATTGGCTAGAAGAGAAAAATATTGGGAAAAAAACCTAAATGTCCATCAATGAAGGACTGGTTAAATTAGTCACATCTACGCACAACTATATACTGTGAGGCTGTAAAGAAGGACGAAAAAGTTCTTTATTGATATGGAAAAATCTATAAGATATATAATGTGAAAAAGACAAGATCCAGAACAGTGCATCAAGTATGCTACCATTTGTGCTAAAATAAAGGGATATATATATATATATATATATATACTCTCATTTACTTGTATATGTATTTTTTTTCAATATATGAAGTTTATTGTCAAATTGGTTTCCATACAACACCCAGTGCTCATCCCAAAAGGTGCCCTCCTCAATACCCATCACCCACCCTCCCCTCCCCTCCCACCCACCATAAACCCTCAGTTTGTTCTCAGTTTTTAAGAGTCTCTTATGCTTTGGCGCTCTTCCACTCTAACCTCTTTTTTTTTTTTTCCTTCCCCCACCCCCCATGGGTTTCTGGTAAGTTTCTCAGGATCCACATAAAAGTGAAACCATATGGTATCTGTCTTCCTCTGTATGGCTTATTTCACTTAGCATAACACTTTCCAGTTCCATCCACGTTGCTACAAAGGGCCATATTTCATTTTTTCTCATTGCCACGTAGTACTCCATTGTGTATATAAACCACAATTTCTTTATCCATTCATCAGTTCATGGACATTTATGTTCTTTCCATAATTTGGCTATTGTTGAGAGTGCTGCTATAAACATTGGGGTACAAGTGCCCCTATGCATCAGTACTCCTGTATCCCTTGGGTAAATTCTTAGCAGTGCTATTGCTGGGTCATAGGGTAGGTCTATTTTTAATTTTGTGAGGAACCTCCACACTGTTTTCCAGAGTGGCTGCACCAATTTGCATTCCCACCAACAGTGCAAGAGTGTTCCCGTTTCTCCACATCCTCGCCAGCATCTATAGTCTCCTGATTTGTTCATTTTGGCCACTCTGACTGGCGTGAGGTGATATCTGAGTGTGGTTTTGATTTTCATTTACTTGTATATGTATTTAAAAGTCTTTAGAAGGGTATACAAGAAATGAATACCTATAGGGAAGGGGCTGGAATTGCAAGGATGGGGAAGAGAAGTAGAAAGGAGAGTTTCCACATGTATCTTATATTTTTTGAATCATATGAAAGTACTAAATTTTTAAAATAATTATTTAAAGATGAAAATGTTACACAAAAATGTCATTCGTGGTGCTTGAGTGGCAGAATCGTGGGATATGGGGTATTGTTTTGTTTCTTTTCAAAGGATTTTTTTTTAACACTGTAACTTTTAGACAATAAAAAGTCAAGGGAAAAAAGTTAGGTCAAACCCGAGGATTCTGTAGACTTTCCATCAAGTCCCTTCCAGCTGAAAGTAGCGGTGATATACAGTGGGGTGCCTCCTTGCAAGGTCTGACTCTCATACCTCTCTGGCACCCTCAGCCCACCCTGGTTCACAAGTGCTTGCAACATCTGGCCTCAGGCCTAGGGAGCTTTCAGGAGGAAAGTGTTCTAGACAGCTGCTCAAGTGACCCCAACAAGCCCCAAGGTGAAATCTTGCTTCTAAGAGAATTACAGGAAAGTACACTTTCACCACAGAAACCCACCCAGCTCGGGGGCAGGTCAGTGAAACCTAGGGCAAACTCAGAACTAAAGGAACCCAGCAGACAACCCAGCATCCACCAGGAAGGGCCTTCACCTATGTAGGACTCCAGGAAACAGGCAAGCCATCCGTACCTTGCACCTTGACACATTCTGCCTGGCTGAAAGGGCTGTGTCTCCCGATGGCCTTCACGAATGTCTGGACCTTCACACAGTATGCAGCCCCCGGTTCCATGGTTTCCAGGTGCACCGGAATGCCCCTGCTCCTCACCACTTTGACATGTTCCTTTAGGAGACCAGAAAACAGTTACACCCTGAGGGAAGCAGGACAGGACAAGGCAGGACGAGCCAAGGAAGTAAAGTTCTAGATATTTCCTTTCTGAGATGCATATAAAATGTTCCCTCTCATTTATTCATTCATTCATTCTCATGTATTTATTAAGTACCTACTATGTGCCAGGTACTATTGTAGGCACAGAGACATAGCATTGAACAAAATAAAGTCCCTGCACTCATGGAGCTTACATGGGGGACAGAGACAATTATAGGCCACATGCCAGGTGGTGATAGAGCTGTGAAGAAAAAGGAAGTAGGGCAAGGAGGTAGAATTATGAGAAGGGACTAAACAGAGTGGTTAGGGAAGTTCTTTCTGACAGGGTAACATTTGTGCAAACACCTCAAGTTCAGAAATCTGACTGAGCCGGGGGACTTGGCATGGCCAGTGTAGCCAAAGTGATCAGTTCACAAGAGCAATGGAGCCAGTAGGATATGCTTCCTCACCCATCCATCTATTTACCCATCTGTCCACCCATCTGTATACCCCTCTACCTCCACCCACCTGGTGAGGCCTGTGCTCCACATTTGTACCTGTAGAGGCTTGACCGGGCCAAGCCCCAATGACTCAGAGTACATGCTCATCTCTCAGCACTGGCCCTGCCAGTTTCCAAGGGTGGGGAATGGGCTCCATCCCAAAGAATCTGAGGGAGCTGCATGCTCCCTCCTGCCTAGGCCCTGATCTATCCCCATACTACTCCCTCTGCCTGGCTGGCAATGCCATGTCCTACCACTGGGCCCTGACCCAGCACAAGCAAATACTGGAAACCATTGTTATTGCCTGCCCCACCTACACATGTCACTTTTCAGGGGAAAATACCCAAATTACAGCCCCTGTTGAGTAGATGGTAGGGCATGTGCCTGGCCCCCCAGATACTGCTGTGAGGTCAGGGGCACCCTCGGACAGCTCTGTTCATAGATTCTGTGAAAGCTCTCTGCTGCCTCCTATCCAGATTTATAATGAAGGCTGTTTCCCTCATGCTGCCTACAGTAGCCTTTGTAAGTCATCTTGGGTGGGGTCTCTGGTGGGTCTGGCTATCCCTTAGTTCCCACTCGAGCTCTAGCCCTTCTGCTGTTTCTGTTTGTTTGGCCATTCACTCTGGGAGTGCCAACATCCCACCCAACCCAGTCTGCAGCAACTATCCCACAGTATGATGGGGCAGTGCCCCATCTAGGCATTCTGGGTGGCCAACTGGCCACTAATTAGACAGGTTTATTCACAAGCCAGTTCCTGGCTCTCTGCCCCAACTTCTGCACCCTACCCAGATACACGCCCTTAAGAGGATTGTGCCAGTCTCATAAGCTTTTTAAATCATCTGTATAATCTAGAACACTCTGGTCTGCTGTACCTAAACATACTTTAGGGAGAATGGCTGAGGGGACAGGCTGATGAGGAATGAGAAAGGCACTAAAAGATATTATGGATCGTACTATGTTAGAGTTTAGGGCAAAGAGGCAACCCTCACACCTCAGCAAATCTGGCCCGAGAAGGCTCCAAGCCAAAGTGTGGGGTGGACCAAAGCAATTCTTTCAAGAGGAGGCTCTAGGATTGTCAGTCTACTCCCATCTCTCCTTTCCCATCCTCCACCTAGGCCTGTTCATGCTCGGGCCACTCCCAGACAGTGAGCACTTTAGGGGCCGGCTTTCCTCGCCCACCTCTCAGAGGTCTGTGACTCCATCCCTGAGGCCCAACTCCAAGGCCAAGGCCGGAAGTCTCACCTTGGCACCAGGCTCCCTCCTCCAGTAAGCCACAAGGAACTCAAACTGGGACCCCAGGTCTTCCAGCTTAATAACCAGATGGAAGCCGTCCTTGGTGACATCCATCCCAGGTGGGGTAAGGATGGCTGTTGGCAAGACAGGGGGAGAATCAGAGCCAGCCCCAGACAGGACTGATTCCTGTCCTGAGAGACCAGAACCAAGTCATCAGTAGAAACATGCTAGGGTTGTAGGGAAGGGAGGGCTGTGATGTCACTTCCCAGCACGCAGAAACTGTACCATCATCTGCCGTGTCTGAGATTTTGCCTGCCATGGTTTCAGGTACTTGTGGTGGGGAGGGAAGCAGATGATCCTCCTTTTGATATACAATGAGAAGGTCAGTAGTTAACGCTACGTCACAGTGTCCATGTCATGCACCTCATTCCATCTCATCCCTTAAGCATTATACCATCTCATATCACTACAAGAAGAAGGAGGGCCAGTATGGTACATTAAGGTGCTTTAAGAGAGGAGAGACCCCATTCACAGAACTTTTATTACAGCATATTGTTGTAATTGTTCTTCTGTTATTAGTTATTGCTATTAATCTATTACTGTGCCTAATTTAAAAATTAAACTTTACCATAAGTATGCACATATAGGAAAAAACATAGGATATATAGAATTTGATACTATTCTCAGTTTCAGGCATCCACTGGGGGGCTTGGAACATATCCCCTGCAAATTAGGGGGACCTCTGTATACCAATACTCTCTTGTACTTAGCAGGTGCTCAGTAAAAGCTTTTTGAATAATGAGCAAAATAAAATTTTTTAATGACAAAGACTTACTATAATTCTCTTTTTCACTCTTCCCCTTGACCATAATAAAGTCCTCTGCTCTGTTCTTCGGAGGCATACATACTCAAGAAAAGTGACTCAGGACTCAGATAAACACTTCTTTCTGTTTTAAAATTTTATTTTTTTTAATCTTTATTTACTTTTGAGAGAGAGAGAGAAAGAGACAGAGTGTGAGCGGGGGAGGAACAGAGAAAGAAGAAGATACAAAATCTGAAGCAGGCTCCAGGCTCTGAGCTGTCAGCACAGAGCCCAAAACAGGGTTCGAACTCACAAACAATGAGTTCATGACCTGAGCTGAAGTCGGACGCTTAACCGACTGAGCCACCCAGTCACCCCTCTGTTTTAATATTTTATAATCCATGTTCTTCTTTTTACTTTTTTGGCAGAAATTTCTCCTCACCTTGACTCATCTAAGTGAGCAGATGCTATTTCATAATGCTTGCCAAACACCTGCATGAATTCAGTTCCATACTGAACAGTTGGGTCCATTCTTTGCCCCCCTGGAATGAACATACCCGGCAGGGACATGTGTAGCACTGTAACTCAAATAAATCAGTGACATATATTGGCTGCTGATGACTTTCAAGCATCAGGAAATCAGCAACCTGTGGACGGGTTGGCCATTCTATTCTTGGTCCAAGAATTCTTCATCTCGTATTCTTACTAGGGATGCTGGAAAGTCAGAGGGCTTTACAAATTCCAGTAATCAACTCCAGAAATTATAGTTTAAGCACACACTCCCATCTTTCATATGGCTGGATCCCAAACAGGGCAGGAGCAGCCCCTGTGGATTCTTACCCATCAGCAGACCGAGGACAGAAGGGTGCACATAGGCAGCCTCCTGTCCCTGGCCGCTGACGACGGGTCCATACTTGCCTATCAAATCTAGACACTGCATGACCAGAAGGGCCACCCCAATGGTTGGCTTTGGCTTGGGAAGTACAGTGGTGTGTGTTCTGGGCTAAATCCCCCTGCACTGAGGTCAGTGGATACTCAGAGGAAAGGCAGTTCCTAGAGGGAGTTTTTGGAGAGCAAAGCATTTCCTGGCATTTGAAGAGCTGCCTGGATAGTGGACAGGAGAGCCGGGAAGTCAGGGACCAACTGCAAAACATAACCAGTTCAGAAGCTTCAGTTTTAAGTAAACATGATTAATATTGGATCCTCTCTTCTCCAAATTTATTGAGAATAGAATTAGAGAAAATGACCTAAAGTCATTTCAGTTCAGAGGAGAATTTTTTGACAGTGTTGGGGCAGGAACCTCTGTCCTGTACATTCTACATACTTATCTCATTTCATCCATCCAGCAAGCTTAGGAAGGTGGTACAGGTGACGTAATTGAGAAGTCAGAGAAGTTATATGACTTGCCCAGAATTACATAGTTAGTGGCCGGAATTTGAGACCATGCCTTTCCATATTTCTAGACTCTTGTGTGGGGATATTTAGTCTCTGTATGAGTTGATCTCAAAACTAGCTATATATGAGAACAACCTGAGGAAGTTACAAACTCCCAGTGAACAAAATGCACACTGATTATTTAAATCAGACTCTCTGGGGATGGGCCCCAGACATGTGGTTCTAAAGCTCTGCTGTGACTGGAATGTGCAATCAAGGTTAAGAACCTCTACTCTCAACAAGGCTTCCCCTTAACTGGGCGCCTGGGTGGCTTAGTCAGTTAAGCATCCAACTTCGGTTCAAGTCAGGATCTCACCGTTCATAGGTTTGGGCCCTGTGTCAGGCTCTGTGCTGAGAGTTCAGAGCCTGGAGTCTGCTTCTGCTTCTGTGTCTCCCTCTCTCTTTCTTCCCCTCCCCCGCTCACACTCTGTCTGTCTCTCTCTCTCAAAAATAAATCATCAATGAAAAAAAAATTTTTTTAAATAAGGCTTCCCTTAAGAGTAAGAGAGCTTTTTCAGAAGAGCCTTAAAACAAGATTTTTCACATGCCTGGGGAGAAGTTAGGGTGGCCCTTTTCAAAGGCAAAAGAACAGATTTAATACCCCTTTCGGAGTCATGATTCCATTCTAAATCTGTAGCTAACTCCACCTACGCAGCGATCACAGAGGATGACATCTTCTACCTTCTGGTGCAGGTGTAGAGGCTCCTTCCTGTTCCTCAGCTGCTCCTGCAGTAAGACCTTTTCCTGTTTACACAGGGCTTCTCAAGCACAAGTTGTTACTGCACACCATTGCCCACATAGTTTTATAAGCATTTTCTTATCTCCATCTGACCTATGCCTTCCTTTCCAACAATAGCTGCCAGTCCCCAGCAATGGTCTTGGCTATAGTCCCAGGATTCTAGGAGCTGGAGAGAGGTGGTGCTGGGTGCTGCCTGGGCACTGCACCCTCCAGTGACCCTCAGCGTCCGCCAGTGCCTCATACTGGGATCCCACTGCCCCCACGGTATCTGCTCTCAGTGCCTGGGGAAAGAGGCCTGGGCAGAGAAGCCCACATTTTGCACCAAAATTCCTATTGATATCCCATTTTGGGGGTCTCACTCCTGCCCCCACCTCTTCCCTTCTTGGCTCTCTGGCTCTCGACTCTGGGCATCCCCGAGGTAATAATAATAATAACACTTACCAGTAGCTGAGTGCTATGATAGGACAGCACTGCCCAGAACACTTACACAGTACACCTTATATGGTCCCCACAACTACCCAGTGAGGCAAACTGTTGTCTTTCTTATGGGTGAGAAGGCAGGGAGCCAGCTATCAAGTGGCTGAGCTAGGATTTGAATCCTACCACTCTGACTCTAGAGGGTCAACTTCCCCTTCAAATCTGTCTTCACCTTCCTCAGCCCCTTCTACCTTGGCCTCCCTCATGTTCTGATTTCTACCCAATCCTTCCATGTTCCCCACCACCTGCAGACCCTGACAGAGACAGCCAGGAATGACTTCCAAAGTCTCTTCCAAAATGAGAGGGCATGTGGGAAGCAGTGGCAATTTTTATTTATTTATTTATTTATTTATTTATTTATTTATTTTAGCAGTTGACAATTTTTTTTAATGGACCAGTTAGGGGGCATCTGGGTGGCTCAGTCGGTTAAGCATCTGACTCTCGATGTCATCTCAGGTCATGATGGAGCCCTGCATCAGCCTCTTGGCTATCAGCTTGAGATTCTCTTTCTCCCTCTCTCTCTGGCCCCTCCCCCACCCACACATGCACACCCACTCTCTCTCTCAATATAAATAAACATTTACAACAAATAAATAAATGGACCAGTTAGGACTGTTTGTGTTCAAGGCTAATTTGACGCTAACAAGAATTCTGAAACTCTCAGTGAATTTGGTTCCTGAAGGGGAGGCCAATGGGGATGGGGGAGTAAGAAGAGAAGTGCCTTACTTGAATTTCGATTGAAGGGAGGCTTCAGAGTGCTCCAGGCTGAGGTCTCTGAGCCCTGGGTGGCCCTGACACGGAGATTGTACGGCACAGTGGCAGTGATGTCATCAGTGATGTCACACTCAGGACCTTTGGTGGGTGAGCACCAGCTGCTGGGGATCCAGACGTGGCTCATGTACAGGCTCTCGTACTCTCTGGCCAAGGAGAAGAGGACATCGTGTCATACCAGCCCCTTCTACCTAGGCTCAATGATGGGTGCAAGTAACTGCCTCATTGACCTGCTTTTTATGGATCAGCAAAAGAAGCATTTGCTCCTTTCTCCAGTTCCTCCATCCACCTCCTTCACCCACCATCCATACTTTCTTACTCCTTTTATCACGGGACAAGGGAAACCTAGGCATAAACCCCAATCTGTCCTGGCCTCTCCATCTCCACAGCACCCCCTGAATCTTGGCTACTTTCATCCCTGGCTTTGCTGTGGTCTCCTGACTCAGCTTCCACTTCTGGTGTTCTTCAAACCATTCATCACTCAACAGATCGTGACATTTCTCTTCTTAATGGCTTCCAAAGCACTTAGAACAGAATCCAAACTCTTCCCTGGGACCTGCAACACTCTCTGGCCTTCACTGCCCCTAAACATGATGTTCCCTCTACACTGGCCTCCTTGCCATTCCTCCCATGCTGAGCTCTTATTACCTTAGGACCTGTGACTACCTGTTCACTGTGGCTCAAATGTTCCATCCCTGCTGTTCACAATGCTCCTCCTGTCCTTCAGATACCGGCTTAAACATATCTGAAACCGCCTAGAGCAGTGCGGCCCGATAGAACATTTTCCATATCGGTGTTGTTCAATATGGTAGTCACTAGCCACATGTGGCTATTAAGAACTTGCGATGTGACTCGTATGACTGAAAAACAGATGCTTTAATGTGATTTTAACTGATTTAAATTTAAGTAGCAATCTGTGTCTAGTGCTACCACACTGGACAGTGTAGACCTAGTGTATTTGATTCTTTACCACTTTACTGTCTGTCTCCTCTTCTAAATGGAAGCTCCCTCTACCTAGAAATCTTGTCATCTGTACCCCTGATCCTAGAGCAATGTCTACACACATAGGTGTTCAGTGTGTATTTACTGTTAATGAAACATATTGAGAGCCTTCTGTGTCCCTGTCTCTTCTCAAGAGCTCTCAGAGCCTGGGCACCTGAAGAAGAGTAGATCCTCCTAACCCCAGGTCCTGCTAATCTTTAGGATCATGATTTGTTTTGGCTCCTACAGGCAAGATCATAGTCAGGAAAACTGAGGCCTCCCCCACCTCCAAAAGATCTGTGACTCCAATGATTTATCCACCTCAAGTCAGAGCCAAACTCATTTTTTAAGATTTTCTTTAGCATTGGACAGTTGGCTTACTGTTGAAAAGAAGGTCTACCAGAATGTTTATACACACTTGTATTCCCAGAGAGCTCACTGTAAAATCTACAGCACAATTTCCCTTGCTTCTTCAACTGTCCCAATGCCCATGCAAACAGAGGAGGCAGATCGTGGAAAATAATCTATCCCTGGGCTCACCAAGCCTCCTTCAGCTCTGGCATGACGACTGTATCTCCAGGAATCAACTACTCTTTAAGGGAGAAAAATTAAAAACAAAACAAAACAAATCAAACTCACCCCTGGTACTCAACGAAATAGTATATTATTTCTCCAGACACCATCACTGGGCTCCACGTCAAGAGATGCTTCATGTTGGTTGATTGTACAGAGAGGTTCTGAGGGGCAGGCAGGATGGCCACTCCATCTGGGATTGAGGTAGTTAGACAGGCTGACACTTGAACTCATATCAGGGGAATGTCACAGCTTCAAATTAGTTTCTAATGAAAGGCCTCACATGTTAATAAAACTGAAACAATTCTAATTTTATCATACTTGCGTTAATGCTAAATTGTTGCTATCGTCATTGTAATTCTGCCTTTGGTGATAAATGGCATATTAACATTAGTAATAATAATGGCTGATATTATTAAGCACTTACCATGTTCTATCTAGGCCATGTGTTACATTGTTACATGATTATCTCACTTAATCCTCATGATCATACTGTGAAGTAAGGACCATTGGTTTCTCCACTGTATAAATGAGAAAACTAAAGCACATTATTTACAACTCTTATGTCAGATCCACCTAGATGCAGGCCTTGACTCTGCCACTGACCATGTGACTAAACCCATGCAGGTTCCGGCCCCTTTCTCATTACCTCCTTCCACTATTGCCACTCGGGTACCAAAGCACATCCCTTCACATCCCCCAAAAGTCAAATGGGGAGTCAGCTGCCAGCTGGGAAATACAGGCTCAGGTCTGCTGTGGAAGGAGTCCAATCCAGAAGGGCACCAAGCCAGATGGTAGACTCCACTCCAGGGAGACTGCAGGCCCCTGAGGCAGCTGGGACACAATCATCTGCTCACACAGGTGTGTGGTGTGCCCAGGGTGCGCACACAGTGGGTCTATGGTTTTCACACAGAATCAAATAGACCTGTGAAACTGAAGCTGCACTCCTAAGGAGGTGGGCAGTCCTGGGATTCATCCCTGTATGCAGCCAAGGGTGCAGTCTGGATCTTCTGCTGTGGTTCTTCTCCTCCCACTTTGACACACCTCTCTTTTAGTCCCTAACACCTGCCTCCCTTTGCTGTTACAACCACAGTGATAACATCAGTAGCACAGTGTGGGGGGAACTGGGGCCCTCACCGGGGGCCTTTTCATCTCTGTGCCTGTGTCCAGATTGGCACCTGTTGTTCATTATCAAGCCCTGTGGCCATGAGGGGATGGGGGGCTGATGCCCTTGCTTCTCTAATGTAGGACCCCAGTGATACACCTCCATCCTACTCTTGGCATCCACAACCTGCCCTGCAAGGAAACACCTGGGGTACCCAGAGGAAGGCCTCTTACCCTCCCCACTCAATTTTGCAATCACCCCAGGGATGAAAAGGAAAAGAGCCAGCTGCAGTGGGGTGGCACAAGAGGGTGGGGCATGGTTCTCTCTGACATCCTTCCTCTGCTAAAGTATTCAAAATATTTCTCTAGTCAGATATATGGGTATCACATAGCTATGTAAATATACAGCTATAATTCATAACTTTAAGACTCAAAACTGAAATCTCCAGGCAATGGTTTCCCTGGAGAACACTACCAATTTTTTTTTAATTAACACCAATTTTATACAACCTTTTCCCACAAAATAAAAGAACTTTCCAACTTATTTTATGAAGTCAGTATGACCCTGAAACCAAAATCAAAGATAGTAATATATTTTAAAAACAAAAACAACAACCAACAGAACAATATATCTCATGCACTTAGATGCAAAAATCTTGAACAAAATACTAGCAATCCCAACTCTATAATGTATAAAAAAGATTATACACCATGACAAAGTGGAATTTATTCCAGGTACGCAAGGCTAGTTCAACATTTGAAAATCAATTAATGTAATCCACCATATCAAAAAGCTAAAGAAGAAAAATCCTACAGTCATATCAATTGACACAGAAAAAGTACTTATAATATCTAACACTCATTCATGATTTTAAAAAGAAGACGTCTCTCTTCATGTTAAGAACAGCAGGAAGGGGCGCCTGGGTGGCTCAATCATTCAACTTTGGCTCAAGTCATGATCTCAAGTCATAATCTTGCAGTTCGTGAGTTCAAGCCCCACGTCAGGCTCTGTGCTGTCAGCTTAGAGCCTGGAGGCTGCTTAGGCTTCTGTGTCTTCCTCTTTCTCTGCCCCTCCCCCACTCATGCTCTGTCTCTCTCTCTCTCAAAAATAAATTTAAAAACGTTTAAAAAAAAAAAAAAAGAACAGCAGGGAGTTATCTCAATTTGATAAAGACCATCTACAAAAAACCTACTCATAATACCTTACTTAATGGTGAAAGACTTCAATGTTTTCCCCCTAAAATCAAGAACAAGGCAAGGATGTTCATTCTCACCACTTTTTTTTTTTAATTTACATCCAAGTTAGTTAGCATATAGTGCAATAATGATTTCAGGAGTAGATTCCTTAATGCCCCTTACCCATTTAGCCCATCCTCCCGTCCTCAACCCCTCTAGTAATCCTTTGTTTGTTCTCCATATTTAAGAGCCTCTTATGTTTTGTCCCCCTCCCTGTTTTTATATTATTTTTGCTTCCCTTCCCTTATGCTCATCTTTTCTGTGTCTTAAAGTCTTCATATGAGTGAAGTCATATGATATTTGTCTTTCTCTGACTAATTTCACTTAGCATAATACCCTCGAGTTCCAACCATGTAGTTGAAATCACCACTTTTATTCAACATAATACTGAAAGTTCTAGCAACTGTCATGAATCAAACAAAAGAAGTAAAAGGCATTACAGATTGGAAAGGAAGTAATAAAACTCTCCCTGTTTGCAGATGACATGATAGGCTATGTAGAAATTCCCATGGAATGAGGGTGTCTGGCTGGATCAGTCAGTAGAGCATGTGACTCTTGATCTCAGGATTGTGAGGGTGAGCCCCACATTGGGTGTAGAGAATACTTTAAAAAAATAAAGGGGTGCCTTGGTGACTCGGTTGGTTAAGCATCTGACTTTGGCTCAGGTCATGATCTTGCAGTTTGTGGCTTCAAGTCCCACACTGGGCTCTGTGCTGACACTACTGAGCCTGCTTGGGATTCTCTTTCTCTCTCTCTCTCCCAATCTGTCCCTCCCCCACTTGTGCACTCTCTCTCTCTCAAAATAAATATACTTGAAAAAAATAAAAATAAAATAAAATCTTAAAAAAAGAGAAGATCCCACAGAATCTGCAAAAACAAAAAGAAAAACCTCTTACAACTAATAACTGAGTTCAACAAGTATTATTATAGGATACAAGATAAACATAAAAAATTGTATTTCTATATATTAGCAATGAACATTTATATACCAAAATTAAAAATGCTATTTACAATCACTCAAAAAAATGAAATGGTAATAAATCTTAGGTATAGAACATATCTAGGATCTGTAGAGAGAAAACTCCACAATGCTGGTCAAGGATTTCAAGGCCAAACTAAATAAATGGAGACACATACTGTGTTAATGGACTGGACAATTCAACATAATTAAAATGGTAATTTTCCCCAAGTTCACATACAGATTTAATGTAATTCCTATCAAAACCCATCAAGGATTTTGTAGATATAGATAAGCTTTATCTCAAATGTATAAGAAAACAATTTTGAAGAAGAATAAAATGAGAGGAATAAATCTACCCAATTTCAAGACTTACAGTAATTGAGATTGTGTAGTATTGGCCAAAAAAAAAAAAAAAAAAAAAAAAAGACACATAGACCAATGAAACAAAATAGAGATCCCAGAAATAGACCCACACAGATATACTCAACTGATTTTTGGCAAAGGCACAAAAGTAATTCAATAGAAGATGAATAGCCATTTCAACAAATAATACTAAAGCAATAGGACATCTGCAAGGCAAATAATAATACATCTCAACCTAAACCCTGCACCTTATTTTAAAATGAACTCAGATGGACCATAGAGGGGTACCTGGGTGGCTCAGTTGGTTGGGCATCAGACTCTTGGTTTCGGCTCAGGTCATGATCTCACAGATGGTGAGATTGAACCTCGTAGGGCTCTGTGCTGGGATTGGAGCCTGTTGAAGATTTTCCTCTCCCTCTCCCTCTGCCCCTCCCCCTCTCACACACGCATGTACATGCACTCTCTCAAAAAAAAGGATAGACTGAATGTAAAATGTAAACTCTAAAACTTTTAAGAAAAAACAAAGGAGAAAATTTTCAGGGCTAGGCAAAGAGTTCTTACTCTTGACACCAAAAACTAGACTCATAAAAGGAAAAATTTATAACTGAGCATCATCAAAATTAAAATCTTTTTTTTTTTTTTGGTTTATTTATTTATTGACTGATTTTGAGAGCAAGACAGCAAGAATGAGCAGGAGAGAGGCAGGGCAGGGGGCAGGGTGGGGGAGAGAGGATCTGAAGCAGGCTCTGTGCTGACAGCAGAGAGCCCAATGCAGGGCACGAACTCACAAACTGTGAGATCATGACTTGAGTTAAAGTCAGACACTTAACCAACTGAGCCACCCAGGCCCCAAGATTAAAATCTTTTGCTCTGCAAAAGAACCTATTAAGAGAAGGAGGAGACAAGCTACAGAATGGGAGAAAATATTAGAAAACTACCTATCTCACAAAGGACTCATGTCTAGAACATGTAAAGAACTATTAAAAATCAACAGTAGAAAAGCAAACAATAATTAGAAAATGGGAAAAAGACATGAAGAGACATGTCACTGAAGAGAACATACAGATGGAAAATATGTACATGAACAGATGTTCAACACCATTTGCTATTAGGAAAATGCAAGTTAAAACCACAATGAAATAGCAACACACAGTTATCCAGATGGCTAAAATAAAATAAATAATTAAAAAAAAAAAAGACAAAACCAAATCCTGGTGAGGATGCAGAGAAAGTGGATCACTCATATATTGCTGGTGGTAATGTAAAATGGTATTTGCCATTCTGGAAAATACATTAGCAGTTTCTTGTAAAACTAAACTTATAATTACTATACAACCCAGCAATTGTACTCTTGGGCATTTATCCCAAAGAAATTAAAACTTCTATCACAAAAGATCTATACACAATGTTCATAGACAAACTGGAATTGACCTATATGTCCTTCAAGAGCTGAATGGTTAAACAAATTATAGAATATCCATCCATGGAATACTAAAAGGAACCAATTAGTGACACACAAAACAACTTAG